CACAAATGAATGACCTGTTTCTAAATTAACACGGAATAATATTACGACTAATGATAAGATATAAGCTTGTCGTGAAAGTGTTTTTGTTTACCAATCACCTGACAACAAACTACGACACAGTTTTAATAAATGTTTTGAATCTTTCGTGTTCTTAATAACAACTGATTTGTTGATTCAGATTTTAGTAATTGGAGAAAAGAGATACGATTTTCGTATTTGATTTAAAGGTAAATATCATATAATTGTTTATATTTAACCTATTTTCTTGCGAGAAATTAATAAAATATGATTTTCTCTTCTCCTTTATTGTGTGATATATCTTAAAGGGAAACTCAGGCAAATGGATGAAAACAATATTAAATTGATCTTATTTTCTTAAATTACGCTAGAATAACATTTTTTTAAAGTTCCAGCATGAATTTCTGTTTAAATTCTATATATTTTGGGTTTGCAGCCTAAATATATCTATATAAGTTGAATGAAATTAGACGCCGACAGGATCACCAATTAGTTTTTAAAAAATGTATTGTTGATTTCAACAAACCCTGAAAGTTGCATTAGATTATATCGTGTATATTGTATGCTTAAAAGATGTCTAGTCATTCATTTGAAACGTTCCTTTACGTTCCAGAGTTCACTGTGACTATTATTCAGAAGTCTTAACACTCTAACTTGACCCACGTGGGTCTTTTACTCTTTATAAGCAGAAAATTTTTATTCCTGTGACTTTCTAGTGTATTCATTTTGAATTCAGAATAAAAGAATAATGAATTAAAAATTTAAAACTTAGAAATGAAAATTTACCTGTGTATCCCTCGACAGAAGGACCGGGTCGTGCCTGAGAAATCGTGTCAAATATGGATCTACACATTTATTTGACCCCCACTATAAGTGGAATTTTGATTTGCTTTTACCCATGCTTGCTTGCCTTATCCTGTTGTGTCGCATGTACCTCTTAAAAAAGCTAGTCAATAAAATTTACAGCAATTTTGATGAGCATGTGAAGTTGCGTAAATGAATAGATTCAGTTTTGTCGAAGTAATTGCCCTTGGATTTGTAATCGTTGGCAATTTCTCATTTGTGGCGTGCGTTGCTAATGATAATAATAGATTCTGATAAAAATAATAATAATGATGATAATAATAATGATAATAAAAAAAATTATATAATAATCTTTTTCAGAATTTGAGTCAATCTTAAGTTATAAATTAAAAATCTAAATTGATAAATGTCCATTTTTAATAAAACAAACCATTGCAATGCGGTTTTGGCGACAATACTAAAAAACAAGTACTCAGTTGTTTTTAATCATTTTTAGGACATACTTTCAGTATAAAATATTACAAATAACTATCACCAACACACAGTGTTATACTAAGACATAGCACTGCAATGTTTCATGTTGATAAATCAAAGATATTTTTGGCTATTGGTTTTATTTTCAATTTGCAAAGCATTTTCCTAATTCAGATCTGATTTTCAATAAATTTAAAACTGATTATTAGAGATATTTGATATAAAGGTAAATACAAAATGTTTATACATTTTTCTACCAATGTCGTTACTGGTAATTTCTTTTATCATCAGTTTATTTTGTGTTGCTTAGCTTAGTTCAAGAAATATATAACATAATTTTATAGTTAGAAACAGTTATGTAGACATATCATGGGCTAGGTCACCATATATTAGCGTAAAATGAACAGAAATGACAGTTTCGATTAGACATGAAATTTCAATTTGTATTTTTCGTCACGTGGTGAATAATTTCCTATTAGGATCCTCGGTAATTGTAAAAAAAATTCCTTTCACAGCTGTAGGTTCGAGCCATACTAGCGTCCTCGAATTCTTTAAAGTAAGAAAACTGTCAAGTTCTTTAAAAAAAATGGAAAAAAAATGGTGGCGTAAAATAAAAGGTCATTAAACAATACTATGGTAGCACCTCGTCCAGTATAGTTTGACATCGGTATACTCGTCCAATCAAATTCAGAATTGTATTTAGCAATATATAATAACATTATAAGATCAAATTACAAACGATAAGAATAACTTCTCTTGCATTGTCTACCTGAGCGGCAACACATTGTCAACAAGAGCCGGTTGAACCGGGTGATGCTCCCCGAATAGGTTTTGGACACAGGAAGGTATACCTCTTGTTGTGTCAGAGTTATGTCACAGACAAAGTTCAAAGTTCAAAAACAACCCAAATATTGTGCACGTCACATTGTCTCAATATGATGATCATTTTTGTGAAATAGTTGTAAAATCCGACTTCAAATAACGAAGTTATGCGCAGGACATGATTTTGCTTCAAGGTAGCGACCCAAATGTTGCATGCGACACGTCATTTCAATATGGTGATCATCTCTGTGAAATAGTTGTTAAATCCGACTTCAAGTAACGAAGTTATGGGCCGGGCACGAATTTGCTACCAGGTCATGCCGTGACCTTGACCTTCAAGGTAGCGACCCAAATGTTGCGCGCGACACAATGTCTCATTGTGGTGATTATTTCTGTGAAATAGTTCTAAAATCTGACTTCAAATAATGAAGTTATGTGCAGGACACGATTTTGCTGCAAGGTCATGCTGTGACCTTGACTTTCAAGGTAACGACCCAAATGTTGCGCGCGACACGTCGTCTCAATATGGTGCTCATTTCTGTGAAATATTTTTAAAATCTGACTCCAAATAACAAAGTTATGGACCGGACACGATTTTGCTGCAAATTCATGCTGTGATCTTGACCTTCAAGGTAGCAACCCAAATGTTGCGCGCGACACATCGATTCAATATGGTGATCATTTCTGTGAATTAGTTGTAAAATCCGACTTCAAATAACAAAGTTATGGACTGGACACGATTTTGCTGCAAGGTCATGCTGTGACCTTGACCTTCAAGGTAGCAACCCAAATGTTGCGCGCGACACATCGTCTGAATATGGTAATCATTTCTGTGAAATATTTTTAAAATCCGACTTCAAATAACAAAGTTATGGACCGGACACGATTTTGCTGCAAGGTCATGCTGTGACATTGACCTTCAAGGTAGCGACCCAAATGTTGCGCACGACACGTCGTCTCAATATGGTGATCATTTCTGTGAAAAAGTTTTAAAATCCGACTTCAAATGACAAAGTAATGGGCCGGACACGATTTTGCTGCAAGGTCATGCTGTGACCTTGCCCTTCAAGGTAGCTACCCAAATGTTGCGCACGACACGTCGTCTCAATATGGTGATCATTTCTGTGAAAAAGTTTTAAAATCCAACTTCAAATAAAAAAGTTATTGGCTGGACACGATTTTGCTGCATAGTCATGCTGTGCCCTTGACCTTCAAGGTAGCGACCCAAATGTTGCGCGCGACACGTCGTCTCAATATGGTGATCATTTCTTTGAAATATCTTTTAAATCCGACTTCAGATAATGAAGTTATGGACCGGACACAATTTTGCTGCAAGGTCATGCTGTGCCCTTGACCTTCAAGGTAGCGACCCAAATGTTGCGCGCGACACGTCGTCTCAATATGGTGATCATTTCTTTGAAATATCTTTTAAATCCGACTTCAGATAATGAAGTTATGGACCGGACACAATTTTGCTGCAAGGTCATGCTGTGACCTTGACCTTCACGGTAGCGACCCAAATGTTGCGCACGACACGTCGTCTCAATATGGTGATCATTTCTGTGAAATAGTTGTAAAATCCGACTTTAAATAACAAAGTTATTGGCCGGACACGAATTCGGGACGTACGTACGTACGGACGGACGGACGGACTGACGGACGGACAGACGGACATTCGACGACTATATGCTCCCCCGAAAGTTTTCGGGGAGCATAATAAATATACATGTATATTCTACATAACATGTTTGATTTGTGTCCCAAGAAAGAATTCGCACCACATTGTATTATCAATGGATTGTTATATTAAAATTTAAGACTGCTTATATATTTCTCTTAGTATACATATTTGTTACAGGACATTTTCTTTGAATATTCCTGGATGAATATATTGGAAGTTTCGTAGGATGTGATCCGGATTATTCGGCCTAATCAACAGGAAAAGGGATGTGCCTTTTTTAAGGACCGAAACAAATATTATTTCTCAAGGAATAAAGTACATATTAAAGGGCGACACATGCAAAATTTACATTTCTTTGTTTTGAATTTTTTTATGCATTATCCTGTAAATGTCCTCAAAATGAATACACTAGACAGTCATAGGAACAAAATTTTTCTACTTAATATAAAAAAAATTAAATGGTTGTTTTCTAACTTGACCTACTGGGTAAGTTTAGAACGTTAAGATTTAACAATAGTTGTCACAGTGAACTCTGGAAACGTTAAAGAACATGTCAAATAAATTATTTAGACTTGTTTCAATCATACAATAACCGCGATATATGTTAGTGTAACTTCCCGAGTTATTCAAGTCACATGATTTGTAACACTTTTCGGTGATTCTGTCGGCGTCTAAATTTCGTTCAACAAACATTTATATGGGTATATTTAAACTCCAAACTCACAATTTATAGAATTTATAAAGACATTCAAGCTGGGACTTTAAGGTTGGAGTACGTAAGATTAGTTTTATATTTTGCCATTAATTTGCCTGAGTACCCTTTAACGCAAGTAAGAAACTCTGGCCGAGCAAAATTCAAAATAAATCAGATCCAAAAGTCAAGAAGTAAATTAAAGTGTTTTATATTTTTACGACTTTTTTCAAACTTTATATACCTGATGATGTTTTTTTTTATTTAAATAAAATATTACATTACAAAAACACAGGGAAAATAACAATACGTACATATGACATATCAAAAGGGTTATTGTTTCGTGACTGCAGTTGAACAATAGTTTATTCTTTAATACAATGGAACAAAAGGGTCAGTTGAAAACAATATTAATATGAATAGTTTGAAATGGTTAGCAATCAAATCAAGGTCAATGCACTTGAAAAACATTACATATTATTTTATCTATCTAAGTGTGTGTGTGTGTGTGTGTGTGTGTGTGTGTGTGTGTTGGTGTGTGTGTGCGTGCGTTTGTTCTCCATGCCCACCGTGGTTGTTCGTTGAAGAACACACCAACATACCGTGGTACACACACATAGCGAGGTAATTTTCCCATGACCTCGGTATGTAAACCTCGCCAAACGCGTAGAAATACTATCAGGGTCATTCTGTGAAAATTCTAGGTAAACCTCGGAATATCGATGTAGTACCGTTGTGTGTGGTCGGAATGTGTAGCACACACCCGCCAGTGAAATTCGATTTTTGTTTTCCCAGCCCGTGAAACGGGGGTTACACACGCGCATGCGCAAATATCCTATTTGCGCATGCGCATGTAATCCCCGTTTCATATCCGGATTGTGACAAAATGGCTGACGCTAGACGTGCCAGAACACTTCAGCGAGGTATGGTAAATTTGTCATTTTATGGAAGTTTATCAGGTGCATCAGATTTGGAAACATGTGTCATAAAACTAATATTATGTGTTAATTGAATATGTATGTCATGCACCATGTTTTGAAATAATTTCAAACGGACATAAACAGCAGATAAAACTGTTAGTTTGGCACATAAAATGATTCGATGAAAAAAACCTTGACTACAATAAATAAAAACAACATTGGTTTACAATATAAACAGTGACTGAATTTAAAATGTATTATATCATCTTATATTATTTGATTTACAGAAAAAAGTAGATTGAATTAAAACAAGATCGATATATTGTCGGTTGACCTAAATTCCTCCCTTTGACAGGGCCAGTCCGAGTCAACACCTTCACTGTTTACGTCTCAGGGGCTTGTTAAATGTTTGATTAGAATACAAATAATTGATTTTTTCAACTAATAAAGTAATTTTTACTGATCAACAAAGAAAGCTTGACTGTTGTGTTGAATCACAGCCACCCAGGTACGTCAATATACGTACTTGGGCCACCCAAGGATACAATTATCCTAGCTTAAGATTTTCAGTATGGGCTTTCGGCATATTATTTGATGTTCACAATACATACAATGAGTAATTATTTTTTTTAAGTTGATATAGAGAAGGAACGTAACTCGCTAGCTAGGCTTGAAAACAGCCACTGTAGTCCTGTTCCATAAACTATAACAGTTGTTGACAGTTTTGACTTTTAAGTTGATTTTCATAAATTTTGTGTCAGTCGATGCAGAAATATAAATTAATGCTTTATTTGACTTATTTGTTAACCAAAAGATAGACCCAAAGCCCGAGAGTCCGAGTATGAATGTTACTCTTGTGGTTATACTTGGTTTTATTGTATATCACTTTCAACATGTTAGCATCCATTACTATTTTTGTTTACCTTAAAATTTGCTGATTTTTGAGGAAATTTTCAGTGTTATTTTTGGAATTTATCAGTAATGAATCGGGAAATTTGCTGTCTATTTTCTTTTGGGAACAGTGCAGTTATCCGGTAGATCTATTAGATATATAGAATCAGTTTCAGCTTGGCCCTAAAACATACTAAGGGGCCTCGTTGTTAAATCACTCCAAGTCTTTATTATTGGAACCTGGACTTTTTACAAACGTCGAAAGATGTTTTCTTAAATTATAATTGCATTTTTGGTAACGAAGAAATTTTCAATGACTTGGTTAATAAAAACCTATTACAACTAATCCTTGGGACATTGAAAAAATACATTGCATATTAGTAATTGTATTACATGCTGTTTTATAATAATATGATACAAACGATTTACAACAAACATTTAAAAATATTTTATATAATAAATAAATAACTTTTTATGTCATATTTTATTGATTTTTTTTACAAAAACTATCAAATGGAACACATTTGTATAACAGTAACTTTTGAAGAATCTGCAAGAATACTGTAAACATAACAAATTTCTTCTTAATATGCATTAATTTTGCAGAAATACAATGTATAATTCTTTAATAATATACCAGATATCTCTTATTTTTCATTTAAAACAGTTTGTCTTGATAACATGCAAGTAATTAGAACAACTTAATATGTTTTTTTATTCAAAAGTTGGCAGAGTTGACACATGCTGAGTTAGTATAAGGCTGAGTTGACTTTTTACCAATATATACAGTAAAGGAAAAACACTGGTTATTGAAAAAATATGAAATTTTGTAACCAAATAAAAGAACTATAACTTCCATGATCTAATGTGTGGTTGCTTGGTAACTTGCAGTTTACATTACCCAGTAACCAAATTTCTGGGTCTAAATGAACATCAGATTTTGCTAATTGTTTCCCAGGAAAATTCTTTAGTTTTACAGTTGGTAACATGAAAGAAAGTCCTTCAATCAGAGCCGAGGAATAAGTCAAGAAGCTAAAATACCCCTCTGGTTCTAGAGAAGAAATATTTAAAGAAAAAGATAAAATTTATCATAATATAGACTATACAATAATTATTATACATTCTTGTTATGAAACAGATTTAAAAGGTGTTTATCCCCTGTCGAATAGCTGAAGGACAGGGTTCTTTTTAGGAAAAGGGAAAGATGGTGGGGAGGGAAAAATAAATGAAAAAAAAAACAACACAATTTGGGGAAATTAAAATATAAACAGTCATACACAGGCTGGTGAAAATGCCCAATCGGACTTATGACATAAAATACTATATTTCTAGGAAAATAATAAATTAATAATTGTTTCTGTCCAATTTGTTGTGTTTATTAAGCCTTTATATATGATACAAATCAAGATACAAATATTTTGGTTATCTTTTATTTTCTTAGAATTATTTCTCTTTTTCAAACAAAATATTTGAAATTCATAAAAATTATGTTGTATGTTAAATTCTGTATAGAAAAGTGATTATCAGCTACATTTTGCCCTAGATTATTGTGCCAAGACCTTTAATAGTATATAAATTTAATTAATATTTCCAGGTTCTGGCATTTTTATTTCGAAAATTCTTTGACACTGAACATTATACTTTGAAGTTTTCACTGAAAATTAAATGAAACGTAAGCAGACAGAAGTTTGCAAAATGACTAAGAGCATAAAGAAGATATTTAAACTCTTTTGTGTTACATTTTGCATAATTATGTAACATAATTTTTCTTTTGTGTTACATTTTGCATAATTATGTAACATAATTTTTAAGGACTTCAAAAATTAGGTGTTACAAAAACATGAAAAAGGGGAAATAATTCTCACAAAAGTGACAGTAGCCAATTATTTTTCTTCCTGTTTAATGTCAAATATTATTCTCATTAAACAAACAAAGCTTAAAAGAAATTAACATGTTATATTACTTTTTTGAAATGTGATTTTTTAATGTCATATAAGCCCGATCGGGCATTTTCACCAGCCTGATACAATTTATACTAAACTACATAATAGTCACAGCAATATATTTTTCACCTTAAATACTTTATCATTATGCAAAGTATTATTTCATGTTTTGCAGTACAACATGTTGATATGTATTATATTGTGGTGAATGATCTCACTTCCAGGTCTCTAATGGCCTTTTGTATGAAATTGAATACAGAATACATGTAGGTATAATAGTATATCTGTGACACACTTGCATCAATCAAGTCATTTTCAAAATTAGAAATACAAATTCAAAGATCTTTCTTTACTAAAAAATAACCAGGAAAATGATGATATTTTGATAGCATTTGATTTCCAGAAAAAGTACCATTCATTACGGAACATAGCCAAGAAAAAATGGCCGTCCCCATGTTCAGACACTAGTTTCCTGCATTCATATTACAATTGGTAGGTTTTATTTGCTGAAATGGAAGAACTTCATATTTTTTTACATTTTAAGTATTTAATCCCTTAGAAGTTCAAAGGGAAAATAGAATGTTTGGGGAAAAAACTTGGTAATTTATCAAGGGAAAGGCTCAGACAATCAGTGTCAAAAAAACCCTGTAGGAAACATGGGAATGGTCTCCATAAAGACCTTGCGTTCATGCATGCATATTTCGTGTTGGCTCCATAACTTTTTCAACCGGAAGGAATTTCAAGGTCACCAGTGGTGTTTGAAGATTTTAATCATAGATTTAATGTCTGGTTTATATCTTCTAAATGCCTGGAATGAATTTAATAAACTTTGATGAAATGTTCATCCCCTCAAGTTGGTAAGCAAACCCATGTTCTAACTTGGCCAGCTCAAGGTCCAGGTCACCAGTGGTGTTAAAATGTTTGAACCTTTTTATTTTGTGTCCACCCCATACTGTTTTCAAACCTCTGAAAGTAATTTCTTAAACCTTTTCTCAAATGTTCAACCAAGACAATGTGCATAAACCATGACACAAACAGGTCAGTTCAAGGTCATGGTCACCAGTGGTGTCTTATAATATGAAATTATATAGGCAAAGCGTACATGATTGTATGAACCGGGGAGTGGGTAAAAACAATCTCTTCATTTTTCCGTTTTTAAAGGTGTCATGCGGTTTTTTATGTACCTCTTTCTATTTCACTCGGAACATTCAACTATTATTATGAATCCGAAAAGTTGAGATTTGTTCCGTTATCGGAATACCCCACCAATTATCATTGTGTTACATTGAAATTGGCAGCACTCCACTAAAACTGACACTGAAAATTTCATTGATAAGTATAGGATTCTGAATATTATTTAATTTTTTTTTTTGATTTTCTCTTAAATATACGCATGTAGTCTATAGCCAACCCTGCCTTAGTCTATAGCCAACCCTGCCTTTGACTTCCCCGTCTTAAAAGATTCAGCCATATATTTTGTATCCCCTTTATAACTTCTAAATCCCTAGAATGAATGAAGTCTGCAAAATAACTTTTTTAGATCATAGGCCATTTGGGCCTTCAACCTAGGCTAAGTTATAGGCCTGGAGATATTTTCACAGGCCCATAGTATGTAGGTGCAAAATAAAGAAAAAAAGTTTTCTTTATGTTTTATTCACATGAAAAAATAGTTAAAAGACTAAAGGCAAGATTCATGGACATTTCAATGTTTAATGCAGTTTCAACAAGGTTAAGTTTAAAGAGAATTGTGTAACATAAGCACCTAGATTGGAACATTGGCAATTTTAAAGTTGTCAACACTGGTTTTGCTCTGGGAGAGTATCATACTTGATCACAGATTGTCGTATTTTCTATAATTTTTACAAAGAAATGACCCTCTTCTAATCATACCCGATTTGTCTATGGGTCTGTACAAAAAGATGAGTTTTTATTTCTTTGTGGTGTTTTAATATTTTCGGGTTTTTAATCTCACAGTATATAAACGATTTGAACCCCAACCAGATCTTGTGAGAAGATGTCAGTGTCAGCCATTTACTGCCGTTTAACTTGTTTAATATATTGGTATTTATGTTGATACTTATGGACGTAAGGTCAGTAAATCTATTTGTATAATGTAGAAGAGAAACTTTATTAAACGTCTAAGTAATGCAACATATAAATGTTAGAATTAAAGCTATAAAATAATCGAAAACTCACAAACAATTCTCAGGTGATCAACACTGAACATGAACAAATATCCATCTTATTTCAAGGCTGATTGAGTTAAATATTAAAGTGGTTGTGATATCGAACTAATAAAGTTATCAAATACGAACGAAAATTTAGTCTTCTGCAAAAAATATTGATGTATTTTGAACATTAAATTTAAAGTTTTACCATTGTGGTCATTTCTGTAAACTGAATGTTACTTGCTTGTGATTGTGAGCCCTACTTGTGAGTTTTCCAATTTTATCTGTACCCTGACTTGTGATTATTTTTAAAGATTTAATGGAGAAAACATTTATGATTAAACTTGGTGTCAACACTTATTTCACAGATCCAACATCTATTTTGTGTTTTCATGGGTGCGCTTTGAGTTTTTGTTACACTAAGCTACTGTCAAGACCCTTTCTTCAAATGATTCATCAAAATCCATCTGAAATACATGCATGTATATGACAATTTACAGAAAGGAACTGGATTTATATGTATATTTTGTCTTAAGATAACTATAGCCAATGATAAACTTTTTAAAGTGACATTATGCTCATATTTTCATAATCAAATTGAACTGAATTGACTTTATATTTCAAAAGATTGACTGTCAGAATGGTGTTTGACCAACAGTTGATATTGGGAAAAGTTAAGGATAAAATTATAAATATGCCTTAAATTTAAAAAGACTGCCCACTCTTTTTATAAACTAAGCGTTATACGTAAATTCTAATGGACATTTACAGAAATTTCATTCGGATCTGTATGTTATTTATTGTTTATGCAGAGTTAATTATTAAATTAAAAGGGATTATGGCAAAATGAAAAACATATTTTGATCTTCACCCGTTCACACACTATAATTACACACTTGGATGGGAAAGGAAAACTTTAAGTTACATTTTTAAATTGTAAACACTGGCAAGAATTTATTTTTTTTAAAAATAAGTGGAAATAAACTTGAAAGAGTGGAAACTACCTTTTACACATTCAACAACAGTATTCAAGAAACTCCTTGAAATGAGTTACTAAGAGTGATCCTAGTCATACCTGTCAGAAATAAAAGTCAAGGCATTTCTGAGAATATAAAACCGTGCTTTAAAAAGCATAATGAATTCAACTGTAGGTGAAACACTTTTCAACATGTTGAAATAAGTAATCTGCCAAAAATCCATCTAATGATTTTTCCAGGAGGATTGATATGTGACATTATATAATTAATTGTAGAAACATTTATAGTACTTTTGATATAGCTTAGCTTTATATCTTTCCATAGAAAAATGAATGGTAAATGGAGATGAGATACATAATTTGTTATTTTTTCTTATTCATTACTGAACCGCTAGCTTCTTCATGCTGGTATTTCCATAGACAGTGAAAACATGATGAAGCTCCATTCATACATTGTGCAGTATTGGTTACTTTATATAAATCTAACAGATGTGTCATGCTCTTGTGAGAGAGACAATAACTTCATTTTCTGCATGATAAAATAAGGAAATTATGACAAAAAACAATAAAAATCCTCAACAATAACTCCAAAGTTATGGTTCAGTGTGGTTAGGAAACTACCCGCCTATATGACTGAAATACTGTTAGAAAAAGGCGTAAAATGAAACAAACAAACAAACAAACAATGGTTCAGTGTAAACACAAGAAGGGTACAGATCATTAAAACTGTTTTAGCAAGACGGGTACAGTATCAGAAAGTTCGCCTCCATTATTTACTAATTTTTATCAATATTCAAAGATATGTATACAAGTGTCTGTCCGGTAACATGAGGTAAAGACAATAAAGTTAAGATTCAGATGTGAGTTAAAGTGAAGTAAAGCAATTTTAGGCATAAATTTGCTTGTGTAATCGGAGTGTGTTGACAAAAACAAAACACAAATCAAAGAGCACAGCAATATATGTGCATATATTTAACAAAGCATGTTATGGATGCATAAACAAGCAAAGACAAACTAGTTTCTTACTATGATTCAAATGTTTTTATCACCCCACAGATTAAATGCAAGCTGTCTTTAAAAGTTTTATGGGTTACTCCGCCTGTTTGTAAGGAACTGATGTTGAGATCTTCTCACAAGATCCGGTTGTGGTACAAATCATTTATTTACTGTTAATCTGTGTTGCACAAAAATGCTTACATCCCAGCAATCAGAACGTCATCGGCTATTATCTGTAGGAAACAATACAGAGTGAAAGTAGTTCTACCATTGGGTCAGATTTAAACATATCTAGAGAGAGTGTACATACAGTCTGTTTCGGTACAATCATGATTGAAAATATGTCTGACAACAATTTTGAATTTAAATATGCCAATTGATGCACAGTTTGGAACAAATTCCAACTAAATATCAACAAAATAACTTCCCAAAAATTAATGTTTTACCAACAATTTTCCCAAAAGTAAGAAGCTAAGGCCTCCTCGAAAAAAATAGGGAGAAAAAACCCTGAAATATGCAAAGCATGAAAAATAATGTTTCAACTGTGCTGGTTTAGGGCCAAGGTCAAAAGTGAAGGACAATGGTTTAACTTAACTCTAACCACCCTGAGTCCAGGAAACTATAAATAAGTCATAACCAGAAATGATCATATCTTAATTAAATGCACAGTATTGTTTATTGGACAAAAAGTGTGGCGTTAGTTGTGGCTATGAGTGTAGAGTATTAAATCTCATTATCATTGCACAAATATATTTGTTGATTTGCTTTTAAGTAACTGTATGCATAACCTTTTCAACATTCCCGCATGCACAGGGAGATATTGTACTTGCCAGGATTGCTTTATTTGTTGTTTGGACATGATACATTTGAAACATTTTTTAACATTAGATTAGATTGCCTAGGCCTGTTTGTCTCTAAAATACATTTTCCATTTCAGGCTGGGACTGTTGTGACAGAAATAAATAGAAGAAAAGGGTATTCCTTTTAGTTTACAAAGGGGAAATCATTAAAGCTAGTGAAGGGATCCACAGAGAAAAGGAACTTTCAACAGGATTCGGGTTCTTCTTGAAGTCCAACGGGAAAATCTTATGGTAAATACTTGATATTGCACATAAAATGTATAACTTACTAGGGCTGTCAATGATGGAAAATTTTGTATCAATATATCGAGAGACAAATATTGACGATATATTGATATATTCACATTGACAGTTATGCAATTAAAAACATTTAAATGTATATTATAATTTGGGATCATGGTGTTATGCATGCTTCTATTAATTTAGAAATTACAAATACTCGCATAACATTTTAATCCTATTTTAGCATTCGGAACGATGGCCAGTTATGTGTTGACGTGCTGTAAAAATCCAAACAGACAAATCAAACTAACAAAATTTTTTTTTTCTGTTATTTTTGTCACTGATGGAGTCATTGATTTTCCTTATATGTAAATATTAATTAAAAACTTTAAAAAAACCTTCTTCTTAAAGAACCCAAAGAGTTAGAGATTAGATATAAAGCATGAACCATTTGTAATGGGTGACTACCAAGTTTGTTGAAATGGAAGCCCTGGGGTCAAATTAAGCCGCCCCTTTTGACCATTGATTTTCCTTATATGTACATGTTTATATATAGTTAAACTAAAACTAATCTTCTTTTAAAAAACCCAAAGAGCTAGAGTGTCTACATAAAAGCCCTAGGATTAAATCGGTCCGCCCCAGGTGGCTATTGATTTTCCTTAAATTTATATACTTAGTAAAAATTTTAAAAATCTTCTTTCAAAAAAACCCAATGAGCTAGAGCTTCGATATTAAGCATGAAACATCTTCTAACTTTGTTCAAATAAAAGCACTGAGGTCAAAATTGACCTGGCCCAGTGGTCATTGATTTTCCTTACATGCATACAATCTTTTAACCCAAATCAACAAGTATTCTGACTCAGGTGAGTGATTAGGGCCATTATGGCCCTCTTGTATCAATTTCTAAAGATCTGGATCAGAGTTTCAGATTCCCAATTTTCTTCCTAATATATAATTTATTTGTTTATTTTGATTTCTTTATTTTGATTTTTGTGCCCCCACGTTAGTGGCGGGCATTTAGATTTACCCTTGTCCGTCCTTCCGTCCGTCCGTCAATCCGTTCACTTTTGTGTCGCACGTAACTCAAAAAGTATTTGACCTAGAGTCATGAAACTTTACAGGAATGTTGATCAGCATGTGTAGTTGTGCACCTGGGTATTTTCGTCTGGATATTTTTAGTATTTTTAGAGTTATTGCCCTTGACTTAGTAAAATTTTGCAATTTTCAACTTGTGTCGCACGTAACTCAAAAAGTATTTGACCTAGAGTCATGAAACTTTACAGGAATGTTGATCAGCATGTGTAGTTGTGCACCTGGGTATTTTCGTCTGGATATTTAGTATTTTCAGAGTTACTGCCCTCGACTTAGTAAAATTTTGCAATTTTCAACTTGTGTCGCACATAACTCAAAAAGTGTTTGACCTAGAGTCATGAAACTTTACAGGAATGTTGATCAGCATGTGTAGTTGTGCACCTGGGTATTTTCGTCTGGATATTTTTAGTATTTTCAGAGTTATTGCCCTTGAATTAGTAAAATTTGGCAATTTTCAACATGTGTCGCACGTAACTCAAAAAGTATTTGACCTAGAGTCATGTAACTTTACAGGAATATTGATCAGCATGTGCAGTTGTGCACCAGGTATTTTCGTCTGGATTTATTTAGTATTTTTTAAGGTTATTGCCCTTCACTTAGAAAATTTTTGCAATTTTCAACTTAAGTCGCAAGTTTCTCAAAAAGGATTTGACATAGTCATTAAACCTTATGGGCAGGTTGCTCAGCATATTTTAGATTTGCACCTGGGGTTTCGCTTGTGGATTTATCCAGTATTTGTAGAGTTATTTCCCTTGACTTAGTAAGAAGATTGACAGAACAGTGGCGTGGTGGGGGCACCCGTGTCCTATGGACACATTTCTAGTTTTATTTTAATCTTAAATTTTAGTCCCAAATGTTATTTTAATATCAAACTATAATTCTTTGTTAATATCTTGACTTAAATTATTTCATTTGCCATCCACAGAGGTGTGAAAAAAACAAACAAACAATGAAGACAATAATTACTTAACTAATTTTATTCACTGATAAAATATAGGGATGTATTAACACAATTTTTTATCTTTGATCAACAGTTGATTTGAAATTAGCAAATTTACCGACAAAACGATTAACTATTTTTGCTGCAATCTTAATGTTTTTCTCAAATTACAAATGAGTGTAATTATGAATTATTGTTGAATATTTTCGACATTTTCTAGGCAAAATTTTGCTATAGTTTTCATTCTTGCATAGTTATTATGCCGAAAAGCCAGGACAATAAACCAAAATACACACATACACTTTTCTTTGATATTTAGATTCTATCCAAAAATTAATTCCGAACATCTGCGATTTCACATTTGCCAGAAATTTTGCAAAGGGCACAAAAATTCTCAGTTTCCAAGCCAAACGTGAATGAATTATTCCTTATTTTTATTTAATCAACGTTAAATCCTTAAATATTTTCAATTTGCCCCCTTTTGAAGACATTTGCTTAAATAATTGTCAATCGGATGAATCTCTTACACACTGTGTGAAGCTATAAACGATTTTCCTATTCATTCTGCTAATCGCTGCCTATATACATTTATGTTTTTTGGGTTTTTTTACAAATATAAACTTTTGGTCTTTAGAGTGGACTTATTTAACTAGAATAAAATTTGATTTGGAATAAAATTTGATTGGTGAAAAACAACAACAAAAAAATGATTTCAAGTGTTGATGCATTATTCGTCCCCTACCGGTTTAACCGGTGGGGACTTTAGGTTTACCCTCCGTCCGTCTGTCCGTCCGTCTGTCTGTCAGTCCGTCAGTCCGTCCACAAAACTGGATCCCGCAATAACGCAAAAAGTACTGAAAATATTTTTATGAAACTAGATATATGGATAGATCTGATGGCAGTATGGAGATTATGCAGGTCTTTCTTTTTTTTCTTCCTATGTTGAAAATTCTGGTTGCTATGGCAACAAATAGTCTGAAAATATGGCAAATTTAACACATTAACTTGATCCAGTGATAACTCAAAAATTACTGAAAATATTTTTATGAAACTTGAAATATGGGTAGATGGCAGTCTGGAGATTATGCACATCTTTTTCTTTTCTTCCTATCATGTTGAAAATTCTGGTTGCTATAGCAACAAATAGCCTGAATTTCAAGATTTCTGATTTAAATTTTTCAGCTTTTTTTTTTACTGTAAGTTCTTTATTTACTTTAAAATCCCACATCGTAATAATATGACAAGGTTGTATTAACATAATTTCCTTACAAGGGCAGGGAAACTTAACACATTACTGTGATGTAGACAAACTTAGAACTCAAAAGATTTAAGTTCATTCATGTCATTCATTCACTGGTAAAATTGAATGGCCAGTGGCCCATCAGAATGTTGCTGGGGTTCTAACCGGTTGCTTGCAATACTATGATAATTGCTTGTAATTTTATTGTTTCATAATACATTGTAAATATTAAACAACAAAACAATAATTATACTATGTGGTTCAGACTTTGTTTTGAATAACTATAAACTTTGAAAGTCTCTTGAAGATTCAAAATATGTGAGCATTAAATGACTAATCTGTTAACATATTAATTGCAACGCGCTTTTGGACTCCAACTTTTTCAGGCTTGGAGTCCATGGACTCCATGTTTTAAAGTCCTAGTGAGAACCCTGGTATTTATTTTTTTTTCCGATTCTAATCTTGCCCTTTGAGAAAAACTGATCCAGACTCTTGCTTGGCTCCAAGTTTGCTTCATTTTCCTTGTTCTCCAATTAGTTGTCATGGTCTCAGGTGAGCAAT